GAGTCCCCGGCCCAGCACCGAATGTCACGATTTTCCTGGACATGTCCGGCTTTTTGGGATTTCCCCCCGGACGGGGATTTGGAGCCCCAAAAGCCGGACATGTCTGGGAAAATCCGGACGTATGGTAACCCTACCTCTGTGCCCCACCAACATCCCAGAACCTTCCTCCTGGTGAGCTGTATCCCTCCTGAGCAAGGGGACACAAGCAGCAGCAAATACATTCACCGCACTGCCCTCTGCTGGCCTATGCTTCGCAGTCGCAGGAGACAGGGACATCTCGCCCCAGCTGTGGTTTCTGATCCTTAGAGCCATTAGCAGTTGTCAGGCAGCTCTGCCCAGGCACGCAGTGGTGGCAGGATTGGGGAGAGCAAAGGTGAGCTCTCTGTTCCCCCTCTATTACCAACCAGCTGGGTGCCCCCCCTTGGAGATGGACGCTGCCAGGAAAAAGTACAAAAGGGATTCGGACAAATCTGAAAGCTATAAAAATAGACTTGAGTGTGTCCTTCCTAGACGACGGGTAATAAATGTGAGACACGCACGGCCGTGCGTCAGCAGGGAAAGACAGAGTCTTGTCACGCACGCACTGATCTGTGCAATATTGCACCGCCAGAACGTGAGGCTGCCACAGCTCCCACTCTGCCCCCGGAAAGGGGGCAGCTCCGAGTCACCGGATTTAACGTCGGGCTAAGTTCTGCTCTACGGTGTATATCACAGGCAGCTTCTCAAAGACAATGCGAGGCTGGAAAAAAAAGGAGGGGGGGGCCAGATCCCCAGACGTGTCAACAGCCTATGCCAGCGTGGCCCCTTGCACTACTTGTTTGCATGTCCTTTGTTTGAGGACACGAAAAGAGATAAGACAGATGAAATGGGCCGGGGCAGGGCAGCCGATTTGGCACATACCCTCAGCAGCCGTTGCGGATTCAGAACCACAGTGGATTTTAATGTTGCTTGGCAGAAACATAGGGAAGGGGGTCTGAGGCGCTGCTTGGCTCCGGGATAGCAGTACCTCCAGCGGTGGGAATCTAAAAGGGTGCCTCTTCTGGCAGGAGTAAGTAGTAGGGAAGAGTCCGAGAAGCCGCCCTCTTTTGCAGCAGTAGTGCCTCAGGGCAAGGGCAGGGGAACCCAGTCCCACCCTACTCCACCGAGTTCCAACCCGGGGCTCTTCAAAACCAGTTATCCTCTTGCAGGGTTCAGATCTCCATATCCCCAAGCGCATCCCCCGGGTCGCTTCCTACCCTTAGACCCGGCTCCGGTATCTCCTCTGCTGGTAGCGGCGCGTCGTCCCCTTCGGTCCCCACGGTCCCCGGGCTGCTGAGGCGTAATCAGGGGCTTCGGCCCCAGCGGTTTGGCATCCCGGCAGCTTCTTAGCAGGATCCTGCAGCATGTGTCTGCTCTCCTCCTCAGCCACCCCAGACTGAACTGAGCTGCTTCCGTTTATACGCTCCCTTCGCTGGGGGCCTGCCCTGCAAGGGTGAGGGGGCAGGGCCGCTTGGGCCCAGAGCAGTTTGTTAACCCCTGTGTCACCAGGGCGGGGTTGATACACCCCGTCACAGGCCCAGATTCAAAAAGGTATTTAGGTGCCTAAGTACCTTTGTGAATCAGGGCCTAGGTGCATATCCCTTTGTGCATGCAGACAAAAAGACACCCGTCTTGTGCGTCCCCGGATGAAGGCAGCAATCCCAGCACCACCTCTGCACCCCTCCTTTAGATCTCCTGAGAAATGGGATTTCCGAACTTCAGGCTGGAGAGAACGCAGCACTGCATTACGCTCTAGCCTCTGACAAGAACTAGCCAAGGAAGGAAAAACTTGAGGCATTTGTGTGATGTTTTTAGCCTTGCACAGAAAAAACTACCCTTAGCTGACCATCCTCTGCACATCCGCAGGGCTTGCACAGGAACTGTAGCACTGGGAGTTTCCTAGGCAGCAGTTGTACAAGTGCTCAGTAGCTGTATAGGAGCACCGGGGCTGTAGTGCTGTGAACTTCCTCGGCAGCAGTGGCACAAGCCTTCCACAGCTGTGCAGGCGAGTCTGGGCTGCAGTACTGCAAGCTTCCTCAGCAGCTACGGCACAAGCCTTCGGGGGCCCGATGGGAGTGCCAGGGCTGTGGTATTGCGAGCTTCCTCTGCAGCAGACACACAAATGCTCTGCGGAACATCTGCACCACAATGTGGCGAGCTTCCTCCGCAGAGGCGGCACAGCTCATGGTAATAGCTAGGGCTGTGGTGCTACTCAGGAGCAGTGGCACGAGCAAGCCTTGCATTTCGGGGTTACAGAATAAAGGTTCAGGCACCGGTCCCATGTAGGGGCTGTTTCAATATTTTACCACCTTTCCTTCCATTCCCATTGAAGAAAACCAGGCCAGTTAACTTGCAGATTCTTTAATAATTTTGCAGTGACCAGCGTCTTTCAAAGATTCTGTTGTATGGCTAATTTTCAGGCAACCAATGGGCGGATACGAGAGACTTGTCTGCAGAGCAGGAGTTGAGGACTGCTCCTCTAGATCAACATACAGCCTGGTTGTAACTGCAGAGACATGGCCCATCTCTCGCGCTATGCGGTGTATCGGAAAAGAGCGAAGGGATTCCAGACAAGAAGGGCTGCATTCGTTATACCGCTGCTCAGCTTTCGGACCAGACTGATTTTCTTACTGAGCGAGAGAGTACTTTGGATTCCTGTTGAGGCCCTGTGACTTCCTCTCCCAGCACCCCCCTCCTCAGATCCCAGTGTCACAGCCCTGGGGTCTTTCCTCTCTTCAGAGGAACTAGAGGATTCCTGACCCAGGTTCATGTTGGATCCTCCTGCAGTAGCCAGAAACCTCACAAATAAAGAACCCAGTCCTGCAACTCTTACTCACGTGGGTAAAATCCTTCTTTGTACCAATGGGATTACTCAGAGAAGCAAGGGCTACTCTCCTAAGAATGGATCAGGTCTGAAGGCACTTGTTATGCAAAAGCAAACCCAGTAATCATTGTTACCCAATGCCAGTTAAAACTTCAACAGGCTTGCAGCTTTCCAGGTGAACAGTGATGCAGGGCCCCAACGCAGCAGGCCTTCAACGCAAAGCAGCCATAAACTCAGTTTAATGGTCTGCCTCAGTCAGGTTCCTGGCCCACAGGATACACAAGGAGATGAGCTTCCCCAGCCCTAGCTGGAAAAGGTGGCAGCTCTAAAGTCAATGGAGTTAAAGGCAGCGGTGTAACCCTGGTGCGTCTCTCTTTTGGGATGGTGTTTTGTTCTGTAAACATCAAGAGGGCATGAAAAGCAGCAGCAGGCTAGGCATGGCTGGTGCACCAGCCCGTTTGGCTCTTACTATTCGTTATAGTCAGAAAGGGGAGTACGTACGAGCAGGATGTATTTCATCCCCTTCCCCAGTGTCCGTCACAGCACCTCCTACTGACTTTAGAGCTGGCCACAGCAGGGTACTGCCGTGACTGCAGGTGGAAGCTTTTCCAGCTTTGAGTGCAACGTTGATCCCGCCATTTCAGGGGGTGGAGCGTGTGATGGGTGGGGGGAAGTGACTGCCCTGGCTTTTCCAGTTGGAAGTGGCCTGCTGGCTTTTCCTGTTGGAAGCGGAACAGAGGCTAGGATAGGATAATAGAAAAGAGGATGGGAAAAATCTAGAAACCTCTCACATTAAAAACAAACACACACAGTATTCCTGCTGGAGCTAACTGCTCGGACTGAGCCTCGTGACATAGATAAAAAAACTCCATGTCTGTATTTAAAACTCATGCTTTGAGTTCATGTCTATGGGAGGATCGTTTTGCCGGCGTGGGGGGGGCAGGGGGTACGGCGAGCACTGTCCACTACCAAGCAAAGAGAGGTTTACTGTCTTCCTTGGAGAGTTCACACAAACAGTTCAGCAGCAGCAAAGTGTCGCCGAGGAACTTGGATGGGACGATGTCTATCACGATCTTGCGCAGATCAGCTGGGCTGCTGTGGAGAGGGCTGGAGTGCAGGTCTGGCCGCTGTTTCAGGATGCCGTAGGTGTTGATCAGGAACTCGCTGAACACCGGGTGCACATCCCGGTTGTAGCCCATCTTCTCGAGGCGTGCGGCGAGGGACAGGTACCGCTGCATCATACCTCGGTGCTTTTTCTCATCCACAGAGCCATCCAGGCACTTCATGGAGGCCTAGGAGGTTTAAAAAACCAGGGAGAAGCTGTTAGCTCCTTTCATGGATAACCATGGGCAGGCCCCGGGGGTTCCTAAAGCCACCACTTTCTGGCTGCATCCAAAGCATCCCGATCTGTTTGCAGCTCAGCGATGACAGTGCTGGAAACTGGCACGCTGGAGAACAAAGTCCCAGTACAGCCGCGGAAGGGACACGGCAGGGCCGGCCAGGGATGAATTAAGCTGCACCTGGCTAGATGCAGCGATAGCTGAAGTTGAATGGGGTCCCAGACTCTGCAGGCCTCACCTGGCTGGAGAACTGCACATTGGCCACCCCCCATGAACCCTTGGTTTTCTACACACAGCTAATGAGCGACTGTATGGAGAACCAACACCCCCCAGAACATGGGAGTTCTTTTAGCTCCCACCAGGCTTGTTACTGCACAACACAAGCCCCACCCCCGCCCCTCGGCTACCCAGCTGGCCTCCCCCCGTGTGGCTGAATGTCCCAGGGAAGAGGGCAGACCTGCCAGCTGGGAGGGAGTTGGTGCCTCTCCCCTCATTCAGTTACCAACTTTAACAGTCAATATTTCTCCCTGACTGACAGCCACTTCCATGGCAGACTACAATGTCCTCAGCCTCCTGTGTTCCCGCCATGCACACAACATTGATTCATGAGGCTCACAGGTCACATGCCCAGGTTTCCATGCAGGGTCACATAGGGTATGTCTGCACTGCCCACTGAGCCATGACTCTGACTCGGGTTTGAGCCCAAGCCCCCGTCCCGTCCACATACAAATCAGTCTGACTTGGGCGAGCAAGCACTCAGGACCTGGGTCCTAGGACCCAGCTAGGGAGGGGAGTGGGGGGAGGATCAGAGCCCAAGTCCCGCTGTGACTTAGATCCAAGCCCTCTCACTTTGCAGTGTGGACGCAGCTCAAGCTGCAGACCCGAGTCAGAAGATCTGCGTAGTTCAGCACGGACACGTTGGCACAGCTGCGAGACCCAGTACCAGCAATCGTAAACCCAGGTTTATGATGCAGTGCGGATGCTCAAGCGTGGTTGGAAACACTGAATCTGCAACCCCAGGTCCCACAGACCTAGATTTACAATGCAGTGTAGACACACCCTGTTTCACATTGCCATGGCTCTCTCTGCACAAAAGCCAAATAGACTTTTCACTGCACAAAAACACTTATTTTTCTTATTACCAAGCTTTAAGCATATGTGGCACTCCAGGCCTTTCAAGCAGCTGGAGTTTCTGAGACTAGCTATTAATTTATGTGTAAGCAGAGTCCGGATGAGCTCTACCCTGACATCTGGTGGTGAATTATGGCGAGTGTGGAAAAGAACTCCAGGGACTGATCTTGTTTGCATAGGCACAAACCCACCTGGCATGAAACAACAGCAACTGAAAGTGGTTACTTTGGCTGGTGTGGGATCCCCAGTTTCTCTGTTATTGGGGCAGGAAGAATAAAGTTTTGTTACCCTGAGTCTGTGAATCAAGGCCAGTGGAACTGTTGTATGACAGAAGGACTGAGTGAGTCCTTCACCATTACCTAAGTAGCACTTGCTTGACAAGGGGCATGGGTTACAAAAACCAGTGAATGGAGAGAGGATGGGGTCAGGTATTTGTATTTGAAGGGGCGGGTAGTTACAGGCTGCTGAGCTGAATTCACTTTGGGCCAATGGTGCACCAGCACTGGGGCTCCCCTACTCTGAACTGAAATCACTAAGAGCTGAAATCCCAAAAGAGTGCTGTGGGGGAGCCTGAAGCTATATTCCTAAGCAGCTGGCGGAGCAATTTGTGGGGATGACTGGAGGAGCAGCGAGCGGTACGGAGCCTTGCGGGGACAGTTGGAGAGGCTCACAGGTCGGTGAGCGGAGCGAAGCGGTTTGTGGGACGGCAGGAAGTGGACTGGCTTGTGGTGAAGGCTGCGGCAGAACCCCACGGAGAGACAGCCGGCCGGCCTCGGCTCACGTAAGGTGCCCCTTAACACCCTGCGTGCCCCCCCCCCTTATACTCTGGGGCTGCACTGACCAAGGACAGAGACTTTGAGGGGTTGCTGGACCCAAGAGACTTTGGGGGTTGTTGGACTTTGGGGACTCTGGGTGATTTTTGGGTTGCTGGATTCAAGAACCAAAGGGAAAGGACACAGCCCAATTTGCTGGGGTGGGGTTTTTTTGCTCATGGTTTGTGTTAGGAATCCTGTTTGTGGTGTTTTTCCAATATAATGCTGATATTGTTTACCTCATGTTATTAAAC